CCTCTTCTTCTTTTCCTCCTCCTCCTCCTTTGTCTCCTCCTCCTTCTTCTTTGTCTCACCAGCTGTAAACTCCAGTCCACTTCTGAATTTTAGTCTTTTCCCAGAACTTTAGTTTTTTTGTGCAAATCCATTTCAACAGATTTTGTGTGTGGTATGCAGACTGTTGGTTCCTTGCATCTCAGGCAGATGCACTCCCAACTTTGAAGTAAACACACCTAATTATTGGACTCTAGAGGGAGGGAGGGAGGGAGGGGGGGGGGGGGACAGCGGATCTGTTTCATTCCACCTCCCCTTCCCCCTCCCCTTCTATATTGGAAGCCCAGAACCCACATGGGAAATAGGGCCCCTCATTATAAACTTTTTAAAGTCTGGATGAGGAGACAAGATACTCAAGCATAATCATGTGACAAGAAACATTGCAAAGACCAAGGACCACATATATAACCAAACGCTTACATAGAAGCGGGTTGAACTTGGTCTGAGGTTTTACTTTTGTTTTTCTGGAATAAGCGAATGAATGAGAGTCAGGGTCAGATTTGAAACAGTCTGCTCCAATGTTGATTTAAACCTTCGATCTTCAGTCTGGCAGGTGAGCTTGTAGCCACTCCACTACCACAGCTCTAATGAATAGTTAAAGACAACTACATTTTTTGAACCCTATTCCTACTGTTTTTGTTGGCCTTAAAAATCGGTTGTGTCTGTTGTCTTGTCTGTGTTTATTACATTGAGCTTATTTGAATTGTTAGTGAAACAATAAACGTCTGCTGTCATGATCAGTGAGGTGACGTTAATGTGCTTTGAATCTTTCAACTTTACAAGTGTGACATTATCATAGTTCTTATTCGAATAATTATCGGGTAGATATTTCTTCGAGTACTTGACCCCACAAACCTAATCAGACTTTACTATTCACAAAAAGGAAACTCATAGTTATCCAAAGGCACTTTCCTGTTTAAAAAAACAAAAAACAAACGCATAGTTATCTGATGGCACAATTTTTATTAGCTGACTGGAAAGCCCATATGGCTTAATATATCGATGACCCAGATGCAATAACTGTCACTTTATTGGTTGAACATAAGGTTTTCTTTTGTGAAACCTAAACAGCTTCACACATTTAATTACAAAGATTTCAAATGTCCGATTATGTTCCTTTATTTTTCCTTTTTTCCTCTTCATTTTTAAAATTTTTTTAAATTAGTAGTATAGCATTATAACATTTTATTTTGTAGCTTCACAAAGTAGTTTATAAACCAGTCTGATTGATTGTATAGCACATTTTAATTCTGTGTTGTCCGATTGATTCATTCAATAAGATGCCTGGTTCCTTCCAGTAATTTGAAAGAGTATCAGGGTCTTTTCTGTTTAAAAAAAAAAAAAACGTTGATACTCACCATAAATTGTTTTTTAAAATAAAAATGTGTGGTGCTCACCACATACTGTCTATTACAGTAGTGCTGAAAAAAAGATGCATAACGTAAGATGTCAGACTGTGCATTGTTGCATACCACCAGAATAAAATAAAATAAAAATAAAAAACCAACCTTGTAGTAAAATATGAAATCATTGGGACCCCCCCCCCCTCTCCGCAACCTCTCTCCCCCAACAAGCATGTCGTAAAGTCGACTAATTAGGGATGTTTGCTTCAAAGTCAGAGTGCATATATGTGTCTGAGAAGAGAAGAACCAACAGTCTGCATACAGATAAGCCAGATCTGTAAAATATGTGTGCACGCAAACCATAAGCTCAAGAGCAAGGCAAAAGGTCTGAAAGTGGTTGAACAACCAGAACTTTCTTGTGGAGTTTACAGCCGGTGAACAGGAAGAGGAAGAAGAAGACATAGGAAATGCAAGACATAATATCTTCAGTCTAAGATCCCTTATACCATCACAGCAGACATAATACTGGGGAAGATATTTACTTGTGATCTTCTCTTTCAATAAAAGTATTTGTCACACACACAAAATTGTATATCCCGAAATAAAATAAAAATGTAGTGAATCATGACAAAGTGTGAAATACAGGGAATATACATTCAGCTGAAAAATACATTACAGCTGCAAAATACCTAATTAATAGGATGTTTTTCTAAAGCTGCACAAATGGTCACCATGTAATAGGTGCATTCGTAAAATGCATGTAAAACATCTGTAAGACTAATGGTGAACCATGTAGCCTGGTGCATTCGTAAAATGCATGAATAAAACATCCACTGGGGAAGTGTGCAGCTTGTGGGCGAAACATCGTTAGTCATAGGTGACTGCTTGTCCTTGAGTATCAGTAACCGGGGGGGGGGGGGGGGGGGGGCTTCCAATGTTTGGATGGCCTGTGTGTGGCTGGAAGTGAGACAGGTCTGATGAATGAAAGTCTGGACAGAAAATCGAAGCTTTGATATCTGGTAGATTGAAGGGGGCGGTGCACCTAGTAAAAACTACTGTTAAAAGGAATGAATGGAATATTTTGTAAATGTATTTTATTTCTCCTTAGAGAAGTTACACCATACTTAGTCATACATCTGCAACTAGAAGTTTGTGTGTGTGACTTCAGTAGGCATTTGTGTAATGTTTAGTTCCTCGGGGAGCTTCTGTAGCGGCTATGTGATTGCCGGTTGGTCTAGGGCTTACATCTGCATCAATTCAGATTTTGTTTGTGAGCAGAATTGACTTTGGCTCACAGGATGACCCAGCCTAAAATGGGTGCAAGGTAATGCTCTGGGAAGTAAAGGCATAAAGTCAAATTGTCCACATCACACACTAAGAACAGGTTGATTGAAAAATTAAATTAAATCTAGCACTGGATGCCTTTTACATGAAAGGCATGAAAAACAAAACTCATATTTTTCCCCCCTCCCTCTAGGCCAATTACACTTTGCAGTATATAGCAGGCCCTGTCTTTCCAATACAGACTTTCTTTCATTTTCCAATAATTTGTTCAGGTAGGTGGTAATTGTCTACACTTTTCAGTTTCCAGTTAATTATCTTGTAAGGAGTCCTCCTCTTTTGTGCTTTAATCTGAAAAGCATGAAATCAAAAACCGTTTTTTTTTTTTGGGGTAAACATTCTCATTCCTATTCTCCTCTTCTTCTTCTTTGTTCACCGGCTGTAAGCTGCGGCGGAAAGTTCTGGTTGTTCATTTATTTGGACTTTGGCTTTGTTCCAGGACCTGAGTTTTGCAGGTACATCCCTTTACTGGCTTATTTTTACAGTTGGTTGCACCTTGACGCTCGGGCAGATGCACTTCGATTTTGAAGGATGTCCCTAATTAGTCGACTCCTAAGACATGCTTGCTGGGGAGTCTGTGGGTCTGTGTTTGTGTTTCCAACAATGGGGCAGCATAACACCCAGTGGGAAATTCCTAATCTGAGAGTGAACTCTAATCTGGAAATTTATGTGAATATTTTCAATTTATGGAAAACCATTACATACAATTTTAACACATGTGATAATACACCACATGTGGATTATGTATTTATGAGACTTTATGTTACATATGTATAAATTTAGAAGTATGCTGGTTTTGGGGAAGTGTGTTAATGTGAGATGTTTTAACATGTGTTAACAGGCATGACATGACCTATGTATTAAATCCTGTAATCTGTAATTTGAAATTGTGCAAAGCAGGTGTGACTTTGTGCAGCACTTGCACACACAAATTTTATACCTAGTGTAGTATATTTGATACTTCATGAATTGGGCTATGCCTTTGACATAAGATAGAGTTGATCTGACAGGCCATGACATTGAGGCAAATTTTTTTTTTTACCTGGGTTGCGCCAAAATAAAACCCACATTTTTATTGCTTGCCACCGAGCCACACACATAGAATGACAGGGACAGATGGAGTGACAGACAGGCAAACAGTGAGTGACAAGGAAACAAAGTGACAGGGAGACAGACAAAGACATACAAAGTGAGAGGGAGACTTAGATTGACAGACACAGAATTAATGACAGGGATACAGACAGCGAGTGATAGAAACACACTCGCTCTTTTCTTTCAGTTACAGTATTAGATATAACAACTCACTTTAGCCAGTGACTATGATTTAGAACTAATTTCATGCATGTTAGTGTAACTATGTTCTTTAGCACATCAAACTGTTTTTAGAAATGACCCTTGCTACCAGGTTGGCCCAGCCTAAAATGGCTACCAGGTAAAGTCCTCGGAAGTATAGTGCCCCACTGGTCTATAAAATATAAGTCTAGCACAGTATACCTCATACACCTAAGCGTGTGGAAAGGCGTCCTTTAAATTTACTACATTGGTCCTTTTACATTTACTAGATTGGTCCTTCACGTTTACTAGATTGGTCCTTTTATGTTTACTAGATTAGTCCTTTTACATTTATTAGATTGTTTCTTCACATTTACTAGATTGGCTCTTTTACATTTACTAGATTGGTCCTTCACATTTACTAGATTTGTCCTTTTACAGTACTAGATTGGTCCTTTTACATTTATTAGATTGATCCTTTTACATTTACTATATTGGTCCTTTTACATTTACTAGATTGGTCCTTTTACATTTACTATATTGGTTCTTCACATTTACTAGATTGGCTCTTTACATTTACTAGATTGCTGCTTTACATTTGCTGGATTTGTTCTTTACATTTACTAGATTGGCCCTTTACATTTACTACATGGCTCCTTTATATTTGCTGGATTAGTTCTTTACATTTACTAGATTGGCTTTTTAAATTTACTAGATTGGTCATTTACATTTACTAGATTGGTCCTTTACATTTGCTGGACTGGATTAGTTCTTTACATTTACTGGATTCGCTGTTGAAATTTACTAGATTGGTCATTTAAATTTACTAGACTGGTCCTTTACATTTGCTGGATTGGTTCTTTACATTTGCTAGATTGCTCCTTTACATTTACTGGGTTAGTTCTTTACATTTGCTAGATTGGCCTTTACATTTACTAGAATAACTGAAAAGATAATTGTGATTTCCTGGTATTGTTTGACCAGCCTGTCCAATTCATGTGTCCTCAGCCACAGAATATTCTGTTGACAAAGCCTTTCCCAGAGGGAGAGGTGAAGATCTGTGACCTGGGCTTTGCCTGCCTCACAAACACTGGGGAGGACATCAGAGACATCATCGGAACTCCTGACTATGTTGGTGAGTTCTGTTTGTGTATGTTATTTGTGTTTGCAACAGATGTTCTGTGTCATGGAAGATATGTTGCTTTGATCCACTAAAAACAAAGCAGAAAGAGTTTGACTGCAGCGGATGTGGGAATACAAAGGTAACAAGGCATGTTGATATCTACAGAGAAATGGCAACAACAGACTCACATACTAGACCTTCATGGAAAAACCCAAAAATGTAAATGAATGAGATACACGATTATCTGTTCCAGTTGACATGTCATCTAAAGAAACAAGAATACAAGGAGAAGTGACCTAGAGAGAGAAGTTAAAAGCTGGGAAGGACATGAGATGAACTGAATGCAACAACAAAGGATAGGAATACTTGGTTGGCCTGAATTAGCTGAGGTCCTGTGCTCCACTGGGGGATAAGGGGTAGAAATAAATCTTTTTAACATGTATAATAGTTTTCGGAAACTGTTCAGTATCTTCACAGCAACTGTTTTCTGATATAGTTTTACACTAATCACTATTAGCTCAAGTAATTTCACATTAACTGATGTTTTCTCATATAGTTTCACAGCAATTGATGTTTTCTCATATAGGTCACTAACTGATGTTCTCTCATATAGTTTCACACTGATGTTTTCTCATATAGCTTCACACTAACTGATATTTTCTCAGTTTCACAGTAATTGATGTTTTCTCATATAGGTTCACTAATTGATGTTTTCTCATATAGTTTCACACTGATGTTTTCTCATTTAGCTTCACACTAACTGATATTTTCTCATAGTTTCACAGTAATTGATGTTTTCACATATAGGTTCAGTAACTGATGTTTTCTCATATAGTTTCACACTGTTTTCTCATATAGCTTCACACTAACTGATATTTTCTCATAGTTTCACAGTAATGGATGTTTTTGCATATGGGTTCAGAAACTGATGTTTTCTCATATAGTTTCACACTGATGTTTTCTCATATAACTTCACACAACTGATATTTTCTTATATAGTTTCACAGTAATTGATGATTTCACATAGTTTCACATTAGTTGAAGTTTTTACATATAGTTTCACATTAACTGATGTTTTTTCGTATATTTTCACACTCACTTGTGTTTTCTTACATAGTTTCACAGTAATTGATGTTTTCACATAGTTTCACATTAGTTGAAGTTTTGACATATAGTTTCACATTAACTGATGTTTTTTCGTATATTTTCACACTCACTTGTGTTTTCTTACATAGTTTCACACTCACTTATGTTTTCTTGTATAGTTCCACACTAACTGATGGTTTTACATTTACTGATATTTTCTCATACATTTGAATCTGTTTGCAGCCCCTGAAGTATTAGACTATGAGCCTCTCAATATTCAGACAGACATGTGGTGAGTAAATTCATAGTTTCTGTTAGCTTCATCAGATTAACTACTCAGTTGTAGTAATTCATTGGCAGAACAGTGGTGCTTTTTTCTCTCTCTAGACTTTCTAGCATGAGAATGGCTTTGGGGGCAATCACTACAGCTCTGAAGTGGATGGCTACAGAAAGATTTAACCAAAAGAATCATAGTTTCTGTTTCTGATTCTCAATCTATAATGTGGGAGATTCAGAATAGGTATATATATAGCATGAGTGGATATCAAGCATCAGCACATAAGCATTACCGACTCAGCGGATATACTGTCCTAGACACACAGTAGTGTGAGGTAATGAAATATCTGATTTTTGGGGGGAGCTACAAAAGTGATTTTGGAAGGTAAACTTACTTTGAACATGGCAGGGCAGGCATTCTGAAGACCATTTATGAATGAAATGCTGTTGGAAGATATTTTTTGTTGCAGGGCTTGTAAAAGGCCTTGAAACCTAGAAAAGACTTGGAACAGCAACTTAGACCATGGTTGTGAAAAACCCAGGGAAATAATTTAAAAAAAAAAACGATCAGAGTCCTTGAAATGTGTCAACTGTAATCTTAAAATTGAAAATGAAAGGAGAGTTCATTGGAAGCCATGTCCTGGTGGGTGGCCCAGTGTTTACCACATCACCCATTTAGTGCAGGTTTGGTCTATAAAAATGAGAGTGGTATTATATGCCTGATGTGCCATTTGCATTAATAACTCATATTTCACTATATTGTGTTTGATTAAGCAATATTATGTATATAATAAACAAACAAACAATGTGTTAATTGGTACTGATATAAAAGAAGTAGGAAAATAGAAGGGCACACTAGACAACATAAAAATCGAAAGCTGTAGTTACCATGCCGGGAATGGACCCTGTCACCTCTAAATAACATGTGCACCTCGCTATTGAAACAGGTGTCTTTCTATCTTTCTACTTCTTTCTATGGGTGCCGATCAATACATTGTCTGTTTGTTTATTATATATATAATATTTCTACGACCCAAAGGGTTCCCCTTTCTGTTTATTTATGATTAAGTAAGTGTTCTTTTGTTGTCAGTTTGGTAGAATTGTTCATTGACTACTGTCATTACAACGCTAGGAAAATGCTGATATATGACGAGACTAGTGTACAGACAGCTCAGGCAGTGGGAGATGGGGCAGGTTGATGAGTTTCTCCTGGGAAATATGACAGTGTTGGTTATCCTGGCCTGCTGTTTAAAGCATCAACCCACAGATCATTAGCTGCATGTTTGTTAGAATGTGAAATGCTGATACATCTGGCTTTGTGCTAAAAAAAATAAGGGAAGAGAATTCCTACTGTGATCGGGTGCCTTTTGTTGCCTTTTTCTTTTAGAGAAACCATAGGAAAGCAAATTATAGAAGTGACTAACAAGGAAGTAACTGACTAAATCTAGTCAGTTATCTTTCCTCTTCAACTTTGGTGTAGATGTACCTTATGTTTTTATGTTACGATGTTGTTTTCTTTTTTGGGCATAATTACATATGGACATATGTAGGGATGTGTGCCTGTGTACATGCATCAGCATTATCACACGTGTACGGACAGAACACACACATGATCTTGATTTGTTAAACTGAAGGCAGATGTTTGCCCTTAGAAAAATCAGTATAATATTACCATGGTTTTACAGTTTACAAAATCCATATCCAAAAAAGACTTCTCTTGAAATAAAACTAATATTGTAATAGCAGGTTTGTTGAACCCAGGTCAGAGCGACAACTTGGTGATCTAACAAAGATTGCCATGGGTGTAGGGGAATTTTCTCAGGAAATTGAGGTTATGGTTTTGATAGAAGGGTTAATTTGATCAATAATAGAGGGTTAACATAATAGTCATTGACTAATGGTTTCATTGTGGTAAGGGGTTTAATAAACCAAGGACAGAGGAACAAACCCCTTGGAATTTAGCAATGTATACCATTGTGGAAGAAGAGTTCTCTTTAAAAAAAAAAAAAAAAAAAATTACATCTTTCTAAAATTTGTGTTAGCGAATGTCTACCATTCTGATAAATGGGATATCTGCACCAAGGACAGAGGGTGACCTCAAAGAAATAACCTGTGATTTCCATTTTGGTAGATGTATTTTTTTAAAACAAGAGTGTGGGGAATCAAATCATGACTACCATTTGTTGTAGAAGGTTTGGTCAAGTCAAGAATGAGGGATACCTTATTAACCATCAAAGAATGGCTACATCATTGGGATAAGAGAGTTTTCAGAACCAAAGTCAGAGTGATATAACAAGCAATCAAATCATAGCTACTTTGGAATAAGAAAGCTTTTCTGAGAAAAGAAACCAACCAGTCTTGCAGTGTGCCATGCCAAGATATCAGCAGATATCTAGAGAACCAGTTTGTAAAGACGTGTGGCTAATCTGTTTTCTCCTTGTCTGTTGTCCAGGAGCCTGGGAGTGCTGACCTATGTTATGTTGACTGCCTGTTCTCCCTTTGCTGGGGACACACAGCAAGAGACCTTCTGTAACATCACCCAGGTGAAGTTGGATTTCCCTGAAGACTTGTTTGGTCATATTAATCCACTAGCCAAGGATTTTATATCCAAGCTTTTGGTCAAAAGAGCACGGTGGGTCAAGTTATGTTGTATACCTGTATAGTGCCATATCAAGTAATTTACTAAATGTCTAACATCAACATCATCATCCTTATCATTATCATCATCATCATCAACCTGTTGGACTGTTTATATGTGACATAGGATTCACAGTCAATTCCCTCTTTTCTTTCTGTCCTGGACTCTGCACAGTTTAAGTAGAAGAGCTAGCATTCAAATGTTAAATTAAGAATGAACATCACAGCTCTCGGGACACTCCCATAAGCACTCCATCCCCATATTCAGCAGCAAGCGAAGAGTTCCAATTCCAGTGGTACCATTAACTGTCTGATTAAACATCAGTCTAACCTTTTCCTTGAGTGTTGAGTGTCAGCAAGATCCCCAGGTAGCTCCTCGCAGCACCATTCTCCTCAGAAAATGTAATGATCCGTTTATGCCTCCGCACTGTTCACTCGCTCCCAAAAAGCCCTCACAACAGTTAGCTTGTCAAACATCAATTCACCACCAAGTGGTGCAGAATCTGCCATCTGTCTGCCTGCTCGTTTAGAGAAAATATCCAAAGGACACTAACTGCTAGTATTCAAAACATATTTATTTACCTTGTTAGTGATGGGGGTTATTTTATATGTTCTGGTTATGTTTCATCGGCCATAGAACTCTCTGTTCCCTCAACAGTCATAGAACTCTTCTGCTGCCTCATCAGTCATAGAACTCTCTGTTCCCTCATCAGTCATAGAACTCTCTGCTCCCTCATCAGTCATAGAACTCTCTGTTCCCTCCTCAGTCATAGAACTCTCTGCTCCCTCATTAGTCATAGAACTCTCTGTTCCCTCATCAGTCATAGAACTCTCTGTTCCCTCATCAGTTAAAGAACTCTCTGTTCCCTCATCAGTCATAGAACTCTCTGTTCCCTCCTCAGTCATAGAACTCTGTGTTCCCTCATCAGCCAAAGAAATCTCTGTGCCTTCATCAGTCATAGAACTCTCTGCTCCCTCATCTCAGTCATAGAACTATCTGTTCCCTCATCAGTCATAGAACTATCTGTTCCCTCATCAGTTATAGAACTCTCTGTTCCCTCATCAGTCATAGAACTCTCTGTTCCCTCATCAGTCATAGAAACTCTCTGTTCCCTCATCAGCCATAGCACTCTCTGTTCCCTCATCAGTCATAGAACTCTGTTCACTCATCAGACATAGAACTCTCTGTTCCCTCATCAGTCATAGAACTCTCTGCTCCCTAATCAGTCATAGCTCTCTGTTCCCTCATCAGTCAGAACTCTCTGTTCCCTCATCAGTTAAAGAACTCTGTTCCCTCATCAGTCATAGAACTCTCTGTTCCCTCATCAGTCATAGCACTCTGTTCCCGGTGAGAATCTGCAATAGTTCTCAGTGCTACAAATGACCTTTTGGCTTCACTTTCATTGTATTGTATTAACCCTGTGGCCTCGGGAAGCACCACATCTGGCTTTTCCTTCAAAGCCACACTGCTGTAAAAGCCCTGAAACCGGCCTGTTCTTTTTAAAAGCCATGTTTTCCCGCAACTTCAGTGTTAAAGGTTGCAAGCTCATGCTAGGAGTCACCAGATACATGTTTTTATTTAGACCTTGAGGAATGTATTCCATTTAATGCTTCACCCTGTTCAAATTGATTGATTACTTCCTTCATACATCTGTATTTATTTTGAGAGAAAAAAATGAAACATAAACAATTTTTGGGGAAGATCTGTTAGTGACCTGTGTTAAATGTTTTTAGCGCATTTGTGGGGTGAAAGGGTTCACATGGTATTTTTAGGTCAGGCTGCAGTCAGCGTTTGTTCCCACATATTTCACCTATAATTTTTTCCTTTGAAAATTCCATTGCAGTATACACACAGTAGGGATCTTTCTTTTTCTTTTTCGTTTAGAAAGTGACATTATTCAAGGAGCATCACACTGAACATGTCTTGTCAGCTTTCACCTTTGACCTCCTTTCCTTACAGTTTTGACTATGAATTATATGTTTGTAACTTCTTTAAATTTTCTGATCAATTTAGGCTTCTTTGGTTGCTATTCATCATCAACATCATCATCATCATCATAAACCACTTCTACTGTTAAGCGTTGTTAGGAAGAATAATTGGGATCCTATGCTTGCTGATTGCCACTGGCTTTTGTCATGCCGTAAAGGTGTAGAGTGTCTTTAATGTTGTTGATCCATTTTTCTGCGGCCGTCCTCTTGCTCTTGTAGCTGATCTTCTGAGATGTAGTGTTTCTGATATTTGATCTTGCTGCATTCTAACAGGATGGCCAAACCACTTGATCTGCTGTTTCTCAATGAATCTAGTACAAGGTGTCGTTCCCACAATTTGCTTTATAGTTTCATTATTCACTCGATCTCGGATGGTTAGGTTGGCTGCTTTTCTCAGGTATCTCATCTCGCAGGTGGTGATTTTGCATTTATATGCTTTAGATAGTTGCTATTAAGTAATATATATTAAATAAGAATAGAGAGAAGGCTGAATGTTATTTGTTTTTGTTTCGTTTCAGTGACCGTATGACTGCTAGACAATGTTTCGACCATCCTTGGCTGAAGGATCTACAGAACACCATGTCGTTGAACGTTCCTGTCTCGGATCATTCAGAAGAACTGGCCCATGATATGGTCATCCCCAGTAATTGGCACATGTCACCCGATCGCCGATCCAGTATATCAAACACTGACTGTCTGAGTACAGATAACTCGTCTCGAGTAGATGGACATAGCTTATCTTTGCCTGATGTGAGTTTGAGCCATAAAGAAAAAGCGTTAGGATGTTTAAGTGAAGACAAAGATTCCATCAGTAAAACTTTGTCTCATATAGACATTGACCGAAGGAGCCTGGACAGAAGCAGCACAGCTTCGTTTGAAACATGCCCCGAGTGCGTAGACAATGGTCTGGGATCAGATGCCATACAACTGGAGTGTGGATTTACCACAGACACATCAGGTAAAGCCATGATTTCGTCTTCCACTTCTGGGGACACAGTCTCAGGGTTTGCCTCAGAATTGGCTCATTCTGTGACAGCAGCTAGATCAGAAGATGGTTCAGATAGTTTGCAAGAGGAGCATACTGTTTTAGGGTTTTCTGCTGCAGTGTCGAGTCATGAAGGTCTAAACGATTTCTGCCCGTCAACTCTTGAGGCCTCCGAGACTGACTTCCAGCCGAACCACAGCGCACCAGTAGCCTCAACTATCAGTGAAGTGCCTACACACAGAGACAGCAGCAAGCAGACTTACAGCAAGAACAGGATGTCCATGGAGATACCACCCAAGAAAGCCAAATGTATTGTTCAAGGGGAAGAAATAGCTGAGGGAGCAAAGGCAGACAACCTGCAGTCCGCAACTGTGTTCATTAACTCAGAGCATACATCAGAAAGTAGTGAACAGTGTAAAGATCAGCCAGGGCAAGAATGTAACGGCACCGAAGAATTTAGAAATGCAGTGTAAAAACATCTATCCCTGAAATCTGATTACTTCTTCATGAGATTTTTATGTAGAAGGTAGGCATTTGAATCTTTGTATCAGATGAGAAATTACACACACACAAAATATTGAATTAATCTTTGGTAAACTGCTCTGACATCCTGTCATCCTCTTGTATGATGCAATTTTTCATTATTTGAAGCCCTACTTTCGCTACTGCCAGGGGCCGCAATATAGCCCGGCCATAAATATGGTCTAATGTCTGAAGGCGTTTTCTGAGACCTCTCCATGGGTGATTCTCATCCACTTTGTGTCATCGAAGGTTTATCGCTTGTGTGATTTCCTGGTGGGGTAAAAGAAGATAGAGAGAGAGAGAGAGAGATGGCAAATTATATTCATTTAAGTAAATGACTGGTTGTAATTATTATAGAAAGAAAAAAAAATAAACCCAATGATCTGAAAAACTGGAAAAATTAAAAATCATTAAAAATCAGTAAATTAAAAAATAAATGCAGGCGATTTGAATATTGTATATAACCTTTTATTGTAAATAGATATTATTTTATATATATTTTTTAATGTTGGTGCGTTCAAGTAAGTTTACAGCGATTGGGATAGCTGTAATCTGGCTCATGTACTCTGTGTGATTTTGTAGCAGAGAAAATATTTTGCTCATAAATCCTAATTTTTGAAGAAAGGTGCTTGCTTGTCTCCCCTGCCCTAAGATGGGAGTACAGGCGGTGACCGCAGCTATTGCTTGACATGGGCACACACTTTGCTGTTCTTATGAATGCACGCACACATTGAATTTCACAGTTTGATTGGACTTATGAAGCTGTGGTGGTGTAGTGGTTAGTTTTCTTTCTAAACACATCACTCATTGAGTGATCCAGAAAGTATGAACCTAGGACTGTATCTAGCATGCCTTGATGACATTGAAATTAGTTGTTTACATTAAAAAAAAAAACATGTCTACAGAAATAATTATGAAGTCATGTACTGTGTAATAAGAAGCTGTTTGCCGACACACACAACATTTACAAGCAAGAAAGAAGATATTAGCAAAAGTAAACAAATTAATTATGCTGCCATGATTGCCTTGAAATGAGTTACAACTTTTAAAAATAAAATGTCAACAGAAGTAATTATGAAGTCGAGTACTAATTGAAAAACCTGTTTGAAACCAAAAATAAAAGCGAGAAAGAAGATATGGGTAGAAATACCGAAACAAATCTACACAAGAGAAACCAATTATTAAATAATGTATAACATTTAGCTGACGCCGCGCAGTATGAAGGAGTTAGTAGCAAAAAGAAAGAAAATAGAAACGGTAATAAAAAAACTGCATACACAAACATAATTTAATAAATAGAAAACAGATTAACAGAAGCAGGAGGAAATACAGGCAGATCAATTTAAAAGCATGTAACATATGTTTTGTTTGTTTCATACATTGCTTACGGTAATAAAAATATGTTTGAAACAAAAGCTGCAAGTAAGAAAGAAGGTAGGAGTAGAAATAAATTATTCTGGACACAATGAACTGAAGCAAGAAGATACATTTAGTAAGTTACACTTGGCAGTTAGCTGCAGCAGTAATAACTTTGAACGACCTAGTAATAGAAATAAAAGTATGATCCAGCGGGTCGAGGCAGACTGGTTACGCAGACAGTGGCTTGAGTCATTGCAAAATTCTCCTGTGTGTGCAGTTACTTTCATATTTGTCTCAGGGCATGCAGGCGTTGTTGTTAATGAGAGAGCTGATAGACTGGCAGGCACTGCATTAATTTAACAGAAGATCCCGAGTACAGATAGATGGACTTAAGAGCAAGAAAGTTTTGCTGCGCCATGGCGTCCCACACTCTTCCTAGTCTATATCAACGACCTGCTTTCTGAACTACCCCATGGAATTAAAGCTGCAATGTATGCTGATGACTTGGTACTCTTGTGTACAAATGAAAATGCGACAGTGGCCACCAGACTGCTACAAAGAGCCATAGATGCAATGGCTAAATGGGCCGACAAATGGTGTGTCAGCATCAACATAGGCAAATGCAGCACCACTCTCTTTACCCTTTCTCCTAAACAAAAATCAGGCGCCATGCACATAAATGGAGTACCCCTGAGAGAGGATAAGGAGCCCACATACCTCGGCGTAACGTTTGATGATAGATTAACATGGAGAAAACACATCAACAAGGCAGCAACCAAAGCCAGAAGGAGGGTAGCCATTCTGAGAAAACTAAGTGGAACCACATGGGGTGCTAGCAGGAAAATACTTAGAAAAGTTTACCAACAAAGTGTTCGACCACATCTTGAATACGGATCAACAGCATGGAGTTCGGCATCAAAAACCACATTGCAAGAATTAGACAAAGTGCAAAATCAAGCACTCAGAGTTACCACAGGCAGTATGAAATCAACACCTATAGCAGTGATGGAGAAAATGGGGATGACCCAAGCACTAAGTGAACACAGAGACACCAAGATGCTTTTACAAGCAGAAAAGTTTCTTAGTATGCCCAGTCACCCTATGAATGAAAGATTCAAAAATTTAGCTTTGGAACGACTAAAGAGAAGTAGTTTTATCCACCAGGCCAAACGGCTCGGCAGACAAACCACTGATTTACCTGCAACTGATAGATCCTTAAATGCTGTCCCAGAACGGACCCCCTGGAGAGAGGAGTATAAGTTTCCAATACACATCAAGACTGAAGTGAAAGGGGTATTTGAAGAACAAAACAGTGTGCAGCGCAAAACAGCCACCCTCAGTTTACTTGATGATGAATACCCGCAGAACCTTTGGGTCCGTGTTTACACAGATGGGTCAGCAGAAAGCGCAGTCAGAAACGGAGGTGCGGGAGTGTACATTGAGTATCCTAATAATACCAGGGATACAGCCAAATTACCAACGGGAAAGCACTGTCACAACTATGATGCAGAAGTTCAAGCCATCAAGATAGCGGTAGAGAAACTACTAAATACAGGGTATTTTTCACAACCAGTGGTATTCCTGACAGATGCAAAAGCAGTACTTCAGTCACTCCAGTCTGGAAAATTACCAAGCATACGGACACTATTATCCGAACTAGGCAACCGCTGTAAATTAGTAATGCAGTGGATACCTTCCCACTGTGGAGTTCCCGGAAACGAAAAAGCTGATAAACTAGCTAAGGAAGGTGCAACTGAAGAACAACCTGACATACCAGTCTCTTATCAACAGAAGAAGAGAATGATCAAATCAATCAGAATGCCACCGAAACTGGCACAAGATGATTACCATATTATGGACAGACCAGAGCAAGTTATTATCCTTCGCCTTAGAACAGGGCACAATAGACTTCGCTCCCACATGTACAACAAATTTAAGATTGGCCAATCGGCCATGTGTACTTGTGGACTGGCACCTGAAACAACAGATCACATCCTTTAAGACTGTCCCATATTCAACGCTTTCAGGCAAAACATTTGGCCAAAAGAGACACTTGTGGAAGTCAAACTTTACAGGCCGCTTAGTGAATTACAAAAGACAGTGAAATTCATACAAGAGACGGCTTTGCAGATATAGACAATTTATTTCATGCGAACGAAAGAAGAAGAAGAAGAACTGCATTAATTGAAGATGGCCGGCCCATGGATCACGCAGACATTGTCATTGCCCTTAGAGAGATAGGACGTTCTGAGGATTTTTGATGCAACATGTCCACATAACTTCTAAGAATTCGCGAATTGGGAGTAAAGATCGGCACAGCCAACCATGAGAAGCACACTGGACACACACGAAGTCTTGTTAACCAACATAGGACTGGTAATATTAACCGCACGACGCTGATGAATATGTTGAGAGGGGAATCTGAGTGCCTATGGATGTGTCCGGAGTGCTGTGAAGATAATCTAACTCATAACTGAATAAAAACAAGCAATCTGCAATAATGGAAAAGCTCCATACACAAGCATAATCTGATAAATAAAATAAAATTCACACTCAGACAGGAAGACAGCAGCAGATAAAATCATGTAACAAATGTTACTTGAATTTTTTGTAAAGGCTGTCACAAAGTAATCTCAGCATTTGTGACTGTTTGTGATTTGACTAGACATTTGTGCATTCAGTAGTTTATTCTTCTTTCTGAACCATTCAGCACCGGTGCCATTATCAGAAATCAACGCAAAATGCTTTGCTGCCAAATTACTTGAGAGTGTAGCAGACTCTGAAAGCATGGCGAGAAAGGTGAAGACAGGGATGCTTTGAGCAGAGTGGCAAGCTTCACTGGAAAGGTCACGGGTAGTGAGCATACTTTGGATCTTTTCTCCAGTCTATGCTGGCGTGGTGGGTAATGAACAGGCAGATTGGCTGGATCTGCACCACTGGGTGGTGAATTGATAGATGACAAGGTAGATGTGGTCAAGGCTCTTTGGGAACAAGCAACGGAATCAGTAGAGAAAGAACATTATTATGGCCTAGAGAGAATGAGGCACCTGGGTGTAACCAGAGGGTCTGGCCGGCTCACTACACTCAGGGAAAGGCAAGAAGAAGATATAACCAGATTGTGACCGGTACCATCAGTATTGGAACTCTGCGCTAGCTGCTGAAGCTGAGGATGGAGCATGCATGTGAATGCCCCGAGTGCTGTGATGTCAATTCTTGACTCAATTCAACTCACCTCTTTACTTGAGAGTGTGAGAAATGAAGAAAATATAAGTATTGAAGCAAAACCCATCATTAAATTTATTAAGGAAAAAAAAAGATTTAAAATGGTTTGGCCCGCTGGTGAGAATGAATTCAGTGAATACTGGCAGACATAGGTAGACTTTGAAGAAGATGAATTGAAGGAGTCATTTCTAACCTGTCCTCACAACATCACAGTAAACCAACCAGTCGATCGCAATACACCTCTGACTAGAGCTGGTTTGAGAGAGAAATGCATGTAAGGTGGACCTGGGTGCCCAGCTTAAGTTAGGTGGTTAGTTAATCGAAAGATCATCCTCATAGCACATCGGACAAGTCCATAATTGCACAGATC